GTGTGTAACTGCTTAGTTAGGGAACTCCAGAGCACGACCTGAATCCAAGTATCTACATGCATATTAGAGCATGTCTCTAGAGATAATATTCACAAAACATTGCTTGGAAGTCACATAAGATATGAAAGAAAGAAAAAATGAGTTGCACTTCTCTCCTGATATTTATAACTTTATCAAGTCAAATACACTAATCAATAAAACTGAGATGGACTGCTCTAGAGTTAATTTAACATTTATATTTGATGTAAGCAAAGAGGCCAGACAGCAATTTTTGCTATGTTCATGTTACCCCAATAAGAAAAGAATACAACACACAGCAGATCAGAGATTAGAAAACAGTACTGAAGAACATTTACTATTCCTATCCTGAAGTGTTTCCATAGCAGCCAAAACAATTATTAAAACAGATACACCAAAAGGATGGCAAAGAAATAATAGAAAAGCCATTCATCTGAAAATAATTCACAGATCTGAAGAGTTATATTTGAGATTAATTTAATCCTTAAACATTACATACTTTCTAATACATCACACAAGTCTTTGTAACAGTCTTCACAGCAGCAGAGGAATTTATCAGAGCAAGAAGATTTTTAGAAAGAAGTATTTATAACAGACAACATGTTGACTGCTGTGGATTCACATCACAGAAAATGTAAGGTATCTCAGATCTGCTTTGCAGGATAAGGATTTTCATAGGGAAGGAAGCTTACCATTTGCTTCTTCTTTTATCCCACTTAAGACTACAGAAAGCCAAGAACACTCTACACATTCTCCTCCCGCCCTCCCACAATTTATCAGAAAATACCATTTTCAACAGCATTAAGCAACATTAATTCCTGCTACTCTTGACAGTCACACTGAATAGCCATCTTTCATATCTGCCCTTTAAGCTTTCAAAAGATGCACCTAATTAAAAATCAAAGGCTCAGTTTTTAGAAATGTCAGCCATCATGCCTTAGAGTTAAGGAAAATTTGGCTTTTTGGCTTTGTCTGAAAGATATCTATGTATTAACTAGCAGGCATCATCACTGCTGCCTAAATGTCAATGCTCTCCCCTTGCATTCTTTCTGTAAGAACACAGCATCACCTACAACCAGTTCTTCTTTCATTAAAGTCACAAGTCCTCCAGAAAAACAGAGGCAGGATTGTTTTGGCAACAGCGAGCAAGTGGCCTTCCATCTACCTACAACCAAGCTGCAAACTCTGAGCAGCTAACAGCCTCCAGTGTAAGTGAGAGTGGAACACAAAAGATAGTGAACAGGTTCCCAATGGTAAAAAGAAATACACAGGCAGCTATGTGTGAGGGAGGAAGGATGGTTTCTAATGGAAGCGTTTTTTCTCCTTGCATCAGTTCTCATTGCTGGATTTCAGATGTGCAGACACGTGGTGTCAGGTCAAGAAGAAGTAATGGCACCATTTATGTTCCCCTTCCCATGGGAAATCACCCCACAGCAACAGAACTGGTCAACTGCCACTCACTCCTGTGTAACAGGACCAACCTTAATAGCATCTCACATTCAATACAGGGCCCTGAGGAGCTCGTGGGTTTAAAAAGCCATCCAGTGCATTATTCTGTTCAGAAAGAATACTTTTAAAGCACATGATTCTTGCCTTAAGAGTGAAAAGCCAGCATCATTAAGCAATCCTTGAAATTTCATGCAAGAAGCTGAGTATAGAAACCATTATCCAGGGGTATCTGCAGTGCTCAGAATAATCTTATGTTGACATTTGTGTGGGGGCAGCTGGGTACGAAACAAGTTTGTGAAAGCCAGAGAACACCTACAAATGAAAGAGTACACAGCACAGAGAAGGGCAGGCTAGCAGATGGGGTAGTCCAAGGGCAGAGCACATGCAATAAAAAGAATAAAGTGCAAATGCTCCAGTAGAAAGAGGGTGTGGAAGCACCAATGAAGAAGGAAGGTGACTCTAGTTCACTACTGCTATACAGCCTAGAGAAGAACGAGCTAAGGGAGAACTTGGAGATCAGGATAGATCTCTGCTTCTGTTACCACCATAAACTAACAAGAGCTTGCAAGACATGTACTTTCTGATACAGACACTATCACACAAATTATAACATTAACTACAAAGACAGTTATCGATTTACTGATGCAGGATTTATTTTTCCAACGGCCCCACCTATAAGAAAACACTGTTTTCTTAGGCAGAACATGTTACATTTAACTTGGACAAAAGTTTCAGGGTTTCAGATTTATTGGAATATTAAAAAAAACCAAAACAAAACAATAACTAAAAGGAAAAGAACTCTGAACCTTTTTTCTGTGTATATAGCTAATTTTCCTCCAGTCATGTCTTTTCTGTCATTCCTCCACACAAGCAAATAAACCCCATAGTCTTTGAAATCCAATAAACCTTTCAATTACTTCTAAACAAAGTCTTCGAGATAGCCTAAAAAGTTGTAGTTGCAAGAGTACCGTGTTCTAATATCAACAAGTTCCTTTTTCAACTAGAAAGGCAAGAGGGGAGCAGTGTCAGCATGAAGAGCACATTTTATAGACGCCAGTATCTCCTGAAATAAGTGCTGGCAAACACAATCAGCAGCACAGTGAAATCCTCTGCAATCATCTCTGTACTTGACTTCATGAGTAAGCTGCTCATTGGTGATGAAGCCTACACTCCCTCCTTTTGATAAAATTTGAGCTAAAATGAAAGAAAGCACCATACACTTTTTTTAAGAGATGCTACTCAATTCATTCAGCTCAACCATCCCATACCTCCGGCTTGTGAGTATTAAAGCACGCTATGTTTCACGCCCTATTCCCATGAAATATAAACCTGCAAAGCCCAGAGAAACTTTACTGATCAACTTCTATAAACAGTGCAATGCCTCTTTCAGTTTTTCTAACTCTCCAGGTGGGTGTCACTTTCTGTTAAAGAAAGGAAAAAAACATGAGGAAAAGATATGTAATTCAACAGAACAGTTTTTAATCCTCAAAACACTGACAGCTTTTACATGCTCCAAAGTCCTCCATCACTCTAGTGATTTGGGTGAAAAAAAAAGCCAACTTCTTACTCTCTCTTTGGACAGCTGAGCTACAACCACCACATGTGCAGCTCACATTCTGAGAGCACTGGCAAGTCTAAACTTCATTTGGAGGTCAGCTCAAGTAAGAATGCTCCACAGCTTCTTTAGTGGGCCAAGCAGGTATGTCCATATGTTTTCAGCACTCAAGGACTATGAGTGTCATTACCTCACTTTCTGATCCTACAAATCCTCAAACCGTCTTAAACGGGCTCTACAGCAAAATCTGACCTTTGACAAATCAGAGTATAACCTTAAACAAAATATTGACCAAGCTTATTGACATAGACCTCTATAAGTAAATGCTTAGCACACTGATAGCAATCATCAACTCTACATTATAAAAGACTTGTGCTGAGATGCTAGGAGTGCAGCAAGTTGAGAAGGAGATGTGAGGAAAGGAAATATATTAGCATTTCAAATATCTAGAAATGTGCAATGTAGTCTGTAGGCAAGGGAGGCCTGATAATGCTGCAGCGAGTATCTCTAGGTGGCTCCGTTCACATACTTCACTTGTAAGAGTCTTACTCAATCTCTTCTGTTTCTTTCAAGCAGAAACAATAGGGTTGCCAAATTCCTTGTTTTAGTGAAATGATGCCAATATATACAGATGACAGCTAATATGAAAGGCACCTAACAAGAGTCTAAAGGTACTCTGAAAAAAACCCTCTCTTTTATATTGCTGGAGATTAAAGCAGTGCCCAATTTCTCAAGCTGTTACACTCACTATTACTAAGTTCTCCCACCTGTTTTTGGAGACCAAGCTTAATGGCTTCTTTCCATTTAGGTTGAAATGGAAAGAAGACTAAAAGCTTTTCAAACATAGTAAACTTCCACATTATTTCATGGGAAACTTGGGTTTCAAGAGGGAGGGAAAAAGTGAGCAAAAAAAAAAAAGGATGGGTGGTGAGTACTTAGCAGCTGCGAGGAATGGAAAAACCAAAACTGCAAATTACCGATACACACCGTGCAGCTGCGTTTAAGAGCGATAAAAGGACACACAACGGGCTTTGGGGATGCCGAAACACCGACAAACACGGCCCAACCTCAGCGAGCAGGCACAAACAACACACGCACAGCCCCGCAGGCCAGCACCGTCCCTTCCTCATTCCTCAGGCACAGCGGCGAGAGGGGAGAAAGTTCAGCGCCGGCCCCGGCCCCGCACCCGTGGGCCGGCTGGGGCTGCACCCCCGGAGCCGCCCGGGCTCGCCCTGACCCCGGCCCCGCACCCGGGCGCCACGGGACGGGGAGAGCGCCTCGGGCATCCCGGAGGGCCCTTCAGCCGGCCCCGGCAGCGGGGACGGTGGGAAACAAGAACTAAGGAGAAGAAGGAGGCGGCGACCCCCCGGAGACCCCACCGCGGCCGCGCCTCGCTGTCCCCGCGGCGCCACAGGTGCTGGGGGCTGGAGGCTGCGAGCCCCAGCCAAAGGCACCGCTGCCCCGCAGAGGCTCCGTTCTCCCCCGGCCGGCACACCGGGATGCCCCCCTAGCCGGCGGTGCCGTCGGGCGGGCTCAGCGGGCAGCCCCCCGCAGCAGCCGGGGAAAGGCACAGGTAGCGCCCGCACCGCGGGAGGGAGGCAGGCAGCGCTGCAAGGGGCTGCTTTCGGCTGCGCAGGGGAGGAGGAGAGCGGCTGCCCACCTCCCCGCCGGCTCCGGGGAGAGGGAAGAAGGGCGCAGACGGCTCCAGCCGGCAGGACGGGGGCGGGCGGCGGTCATGGCGGGGAGGCGCGCCGCGCACCTGGCAGCAGGTGCATGCAGGCGGAGACGGCGGCGAGGGCGCCCGCGGAGGGAAGGACGAAACTAGCGAGGCTTTCCCGGAGAACGGCGCCTGTTGTGCGGCCGGGGGGGGGCACTCGCAGGTGCCCGTCGCCGGGGAGGGGGGGACGATGCGGAGGAGGGGAAAGGGTAGCTGCAGGCGCCGTTTTGCAGGCGGCGGAGGTAAGCGCGCACTACTCACCGGCAGCTCCACGTTGACTTCGGTCCCGTCCAGGAGAAGGACGCGGCACTGCAGCACCGGCTTGCTGCCGCCGGCCGCCGGGATGTGGACGGGCGCTCCGGAGCTGTGCACGACCCCTCCGGGCAGCGGCGAGGACGGGAAGGCTCCCGAGCCGACGGCGGCGGCGGCCGCTCCTCGCAGCCCCCCGTCCCGCTCGTCCCCCTCGCCGCCGAGCCCACCTCGCCCGGCTCCGCGCCCGGCTCCTCGCCCGTAGCGCTGCATCGACCGCCGGCCAAAGGTCCTGCGCAGGAACCGCAGCATCCTGGGGGCGCCCTGCCCGGCCGCTCACACCCCCGAGCCCGCAGCTCCGCGCCCGGCCCCGCGGCGCCTCCCAGAGCAACGCAGCAGCGCCGCCCGCCGGGAGCCAGCCCGCGCCGGGCGCCGGCCGCGCCGCCCGCTCCGCCCTCTGCAGCGCCGCCCGGCAGCGGCGGGGCGGGGCGGGACGCGGCCCCTCCCGCCGCCGCGCACCGGGGCGTGCGGCGGGCAGGGGGAGCTGCTGAGGCGGCCACCTGCGGGGGAGGCCGGGGCGAGCGCCCCGCAGCTCGGCTGGGCAAGAGCCGAGCCGAGCCGCGCTGCTCCTCTCCTCTCCTCCCCTCCAGAAGCAGCCCTGGCTCCGCGGGCGCTGGGGCGGTGTCTGCGCGACGGCAGCCCCTCGCCACCGCCCCCGGGCCGGGGAGGGGAGAGGAGCGGCGGGGGCGCGGAGCCTCCTTCGCCGGCCAGGCTCGCCGGGCGGCCCCTGCTGCGCGCCGGGCTCTGCGCGCTGCCCCCGCCCCGCGTCCCTCCCGCGCCCGTCTGCCGCTTCCGCCCCTTCGGACGTGCGGGAGAGGGGAGGGGGGAAGTTATTTGGAAATAAAAAAAGGCAAGGAGGGGGGGATGGAGTACTGGGCGCAGGCAGAAGGACGGATCTCGCCTGTGTTGGAGGTGGCCGAAGCGGCGGATCCCACCTGCAGGAGGAGGAGGAGGAGGGCATCGCACCGCCTCTCCCGCCGCCGCCTACATCCCCCGTGCACAGACACGTCTGCCCGGTGCGTGGGAATGCCCCCGCGTTTGCCTTTGCCATCAGCGCGGTCTGGTGGTTTAAGGAAGCCGCTGTGAGAACTTGGCCCCGTGGAAAAACCAGACCCTCCCGACCGTCCCGGGGTTTTACTCCCTTTCGCTTCCGTAAGGAGTACGGGTTTGTTTATCTGTCACAGCAAATCCATAGGTACAAATACTCTCACGGTCGCTCTGCCAAAAAGTTAAGTATTTATGTAGACTGGCTCGGGTGGGAGCGTTTTTGCTGAATTGCTACGTATGAAGTACTGGACGTGAATCACGTCTTGCAGAAACAATCAGTGAGGCTAATTCTGTTACCCTATGGTCAGATGTGATGTGAAGAGCTTTGAACTGAAATAATTTGCTGCTTCTAAAGTGTGGGTTTGGGGATTTTTTTCTGCTGTGAATTTATTTCTCTGCACCTCACTTCCAGGCCCGTTTACACAAGCATTGTCCTATTAGGTATTCAGAAAGCCTGCCAAAATGTCTCAGCTTGTCATTTTTTTTATTGAGACTTGATAGTATTAGGTAACTGCCTGCTGCTTCTGCATCCTTTTCCATGTTCCTTCAATGCCCTGGATCAGGTCTTGAAGTGTCTCATCAGCCAAGACCGTCACCAAACTGCATGATCTTTGGCAGAGATCTAATTGCAGCCCTTCTGCACTTTATGGCTGCATAAAAGAGCTTTTATAGAAACAGAGTGGAAAGGTGCTAATCTCTGCCTGCTACTGCTCACAATCAAAAGTAGACGCTTAATACAGATTATGGCTTTTTTTCTCCATTTTTTTCCTTGAATTAGGAGCAGAATTTCAATTTTCTTTCAGATCCTGAATGGTGCAGCATACCTTGGGGTTCTTTCACTGCTTTGAACACTGTGAAGATATCCCAGTCCCAGAAAGCTCATTTGCATACCACAAGCAGCACAAATTATCTTAAGAGTTGGAAATTCAGCAGAAATACTCTTGTCTCTTGAGGGAGCTACAGCAATTCTGGTGCAAAGGAGAGTGGGGTGGAAGAGAGGTCTTGCATCACTTGGGACTGGACTGGCAGAAAACCGAGCAAATCTTTTGCCGTGCTAAAAATCTTTTTTACTCTGGAGCTGTGAGACTTCAGCCCTTTGTCTCTTTCAAGTTCTGTCATGGAAACAGGAGTCTGGTATTTTAAAATGCAGAAACGTAGGCTTGCTTGACTTACATTAGCAGCACACCTGATACGGGCCAATGGCCATACCCCAGAGGCAGTCCTGCATTTACAGAACTGCCATAGGGATGCTGAGGTCCCGTTAAGGGTCATGTTAAGAAATACAAGGTATTGCTCACAGTAAAGCATCTTTTAGAAGGAGCTGGTGGTGGGAGGAAATAAAGCTGGTTTCTTAGTACCCAGCCTCTCTTGGAGTAAAACAATTCCACCGTTATTTTGTCTCATGTTACCAGCAGAGCTATCTTTAGCTGTGAAACAAAAACCTTGAGCAACAGTGGTACTGAGGATGCCTTGAGAAGTATTTAAACTAGCATTTATATTCAGATTTCTACCTTGCATGTTTCACCCATCTATGTCCTCTCTCCATTTTTGGATGGACAGGTCCTGAAGGGACCTGGTTTGCTGGCACCTGTCCTGCAGTCCCTCCTCAGAGTGCCTTCAACTTGCTTGCTTTCCAGTGAGAGACACAAGCTGAAACTGCCATGGTCCTCATCTGTACTGTAGTTAAGGGCATTTCCCTTGAATCCTTATCAAAATAGCCTTCCACTGCAACATCAACTTCCCACAGAGTACTCCAGTCTCCACTGGAAGCCATGATTTGATTACTGCCACAGGAAAAGTCATGACCTTGGCAAACCATTTTTCCTAACCCGTATTGAAGTTCTGGTACCAAGCCCTGCGAGTGACCAGTCTTACCCACAGCTTTGCCATGGTGCTGAGCAGTGTGTAAATGGGAGAGCATTTACCAAAATCCTTCCTGACACTGGCAGCAGCAAGATGGGAAATCTCTAACCATCAGAGCCCCTGTTGCTGCTGGTACCTAAATAACTACATAAAAGTTTGATAAATACAATAATGACTACAATAAAGTTTGACTTTATTCTTGCTCTTTCATTCAGCGTTTTGGATTTGTTCAAATCTTGTCTGGAAGCTTTTGGAAAGTTTGGAAATGGAGGCAACCATGTCATGGGGATGAGGAAGCAAAGCCATCGACAGTTCTGTGAAGAGACTTTTCCTGACGGGGCATGCATGTGCTGCCTGGACATTAGAGATCTCTGTCTTGTTTTACTTTCTGTCACTGCAATCACATTTATGGATTTTTCCTGGCCTGCCAGACTTTCACTCTATGCAAAGGAGTGTTCTAAAATTAATTTACATGCAGCTAGAGTTTCTTTTTCTGCATTTTTGGAGAAATGTTATCTTTACTGAGTAACTTAAACAGGCTTATATTTTGCAAGGTTCTGCCAGGGTATGTTTTGTTACAGTCATTACTTAGAGCAAACTTACATATACAGATTCAAAGAGCAAGTATTGGTGCAAACCCAAATGTCTATGTTAATAAAACTGGGAGGAAAAAGAAACTTGAGAAGTTATGACATAAATTCACTCAAGCTTTTGGATATTAATTTTCTGGGGCTGTTTCTCTAAACACATAAATCAAATTAAATTTTTTATTAAAAATTTCATTAAAGGAGATTCTTTTCAGCATTAGCACTCATTCCATTACAACATTCATGCAGCAGCTGGCAGTTCTATCTGTTTATTTTCCCCAAAAGCATGTCAGTTATATGAGCAGGTCTAATGTCACTGGTTTTCAGGATTTTTATATTTCCAGACACAGATTTAGAATAAAATACAAAGGTAATTCTGAATTATGTGGCTAAGCATAATTTGCATTTCTAGTCCATCTTTCATCTAGAGAGATCCCAAAACACTTTCATTTCAAAAAAGGAAAATTATATGTAGAACTGTTTTACCAGCACTGAAATGCAGCAGCTGTTTAACAGCCTAGAAAAATACTAAGAATCTCTCTCCTACAATTGTAATGGAAATATGCTTTTGAATAGGCAGAAAGTTACCCCAGTCACAGGGCCATGGTGCTGGAGCTGGTGGATGAATTCCTGCAAAAGGTACCACATGATCATAGGTAGTCAGGACTTTCCATTATCATGTTCTACTCCAAGTGTTTCAAAAGTCCTCCATTAAGAAAAAAAAATTAATACTTCTCCATTTAGAATATCAGTGTTTCAGTAGGTATGAGTTGTCGCAGCCATTGCTGTTCATGTTAATCCATATATACAGAAAAAAAATCCTTTTTTTTTTGACAGAATAAATAAAATAGTAGCTCACTGAAGAATAAATGTGTCCACTCAAAGAGCTGCTTTTGTATATCCAGAGAGGTTTGCTCATAAACATGTAAGAACAAAAAACTTTCCATTAGAAAATCTACAGAAAGAAAATATTTCTTGAGGAGTGAACACTTTACAATGCCTCCCATCCATCTAACAAGCAGGTTCAATATGACTTAATCATATGTTCTTTCCTTTAGTAAGAATTTTATCAGTTTTGTAGTGACTTCAATGCATAGAAATAATAATGAATATTATCCTTATTCAAACTTATTATTAGGTTTAAGGCATTAATGAAAAATGTTTTCAATGCTTTGTTAAATTGCAAAGATAACAGGTGCTCAGCTGAAAAATTGAGGCATCTTTCCACTGGTGAACTGTTTTGATGTTAATCTTTGGTGAGCCTAGAAGACTGCTCAGAATGTTACCTATAAGCAATCATGACATGCTGAAAGAGTAAAGTTTTCTAGGAACATTTTCTAACCATAATTATGCATCTTTTAATGCTATCTCCACTGAAAATAGATATCCATGGCTTCTTGTGCTGTGCATGAATTAATAAGGTCTAAAATTTGCAACAAAAATACCTTTAACTGACACTGCAATGCTGAATGATACCTTGTAGAGGTCTGATGGGCAACAAACCACTTATGAGAACTGCTGGAAACTTTCAAGGTGTATGAAAAACCGACTGAGCAATAAAGCAAAGGTGAAGGTTATAATGAACAAGCATCACATTAGATTTGGTTAATTAAAAGATGCATAAGTCAGATACTCTGGGTACTCCCCTGCCTGGATGTTACGCTGGTGGCAGAAAGGAGATCCCCTCCTCATTTGGAGACTTCAGCTCTTCACCTGTTGCACTGTTTGAGAGTACAAGGGGCAGGAGGTAGCCAG